CCCCTTGAGCCTCTGGCCTGTACCCCAGTTCTGTATGCACAAATAAAAAAAAAATGTTTAACAATTGACAATAGTTTTCTCAGAAAAGTACCTTAACATAAATCAAGAGTGTAGATTGTAAACATAATCAGGATGTACTTCCCCATGGGATAGTTTGAAGGGACCTATAGAAGTAGATCTGAATTTAGATTTAAGCTGAGAAAGGATTGTTCAAAGGAGGACTTAATTATTTGCTGCTTTATTTGAGATGCTGTCTAGAATGATTGTTCATGCTGAAAAGAAATGGGGATGCTGATTGTTTTTGGTGGCTTTCTTTCTATGATCAAAAGAGTTTCTTTGTAACCACAAAAGTTTCGGTGTAGCCATGGAAATGAATAGTCAAAGATTTGCTTCAATTGTTAAAGATTTGCTTCAATTCCTATACGGATGTAATCGCACCACTTGGAAATTGTTTGAATAAAGAACTGCTAGAGTTTTTGGCAGGAGATACTTGCACCAGCTACAGTGTCAGTGTCTGCCTCAATTGCTCATTTCACCAATGCTGCCTCATCCTTCAAGAAAAAGACCCCTGACCGACCACCTGTCAGAGCTGGACTTTGACATCTGACATGGTCTCCAACACTTATTCTCTTTAGCAATTGTCCTTGGTAGTCATGCTAGTGGCTTAAATTTCTTCTCCAAGGAACTGCAAAGGTTCATTTTTTCTGTATTTTTACTCTATGATATCCATCTATTTACTAAAATTCATAAATTACATTTTTCTAATTCTATTTCAAGGGCATGCTTAGTAGAACACTCCTCAGTTTATCTGGTGACCTGGATGTATCTGTGGGAGATTTAAGAGGAAATAGAAATAGTGGGGTCCTCCTTGATGGCTCAGGGGTTAAAGATAGCATTATCAACCTACTAGCTACCGCCATCCACTTCAGCAGTTCAATCCTCAGCCTGCCAGGGAGCTGAACCACATGGCACAGCAGACCTCTCCTCCTCAACCAGTACCCCCAAAGCAGTGATTTCCCCACTCTGTCTCTATCAAATCCTCTCACTTACCCCACACCCCTGGCCTATACCTCATATCACACACACACACACACACACACACACACACACACATCGCTGGCCTACACCCCAGTTCTTCTATATTTTTTTAAAAAAACAGCTTTTTCCAAAGTCTTCCTATCTACAGAACCAGGCTCTAGCCCTCCCTCCTTCTCTGCACTGACTCTTCTAAGAACCAGTATAATAAGCTCACACAACCCCACCCCACAGGGGTGTGGGGCACTAACCTATCTTTCTCTGCAGAAGAAGCTGCAGGTTGCATTGGGGAAACTGAGAAAAGAGCAGGAGTTGGCTGAGAAGTTGGAAGTGGACATCGCAACCGAGAAAGCAAATTGGAAGGCAAGAGTCATTTCCTGAGGAGAATCATAGATCAGAACCTGGCAGGGCATAGGGCCCAGACTCAAAGTCCCCACCAGACCTAAGGCCTGTCTGAGTGACAGCTGGTACACCTCCACTCCAAGAATCCAGGTTTCGTACATCTGATAAGGGGGAGTCAAAAGGACAATTCTAACAAGATCGAGATGGAGAGTCTTAGGGGAAGCTGAAGAGACAAGCCCCACCCTAAAGCTTCTGTGCCTCAAGCCCAGTCTTAAGGGGGTGACAGCACCAGTGCCTCTGAATCTGGCATGAGGTATCCAGGGGGGATCCCCAGCTACAAGCCTGGCAGAAAATGGCAAAGACCATGAAGGACACACTTAAGGGGCCATCAAAGCCTGAGGGAGAAGAACCAGTTTGACCAGTTGCAAAGCAGGTTCAGAACACCAGGCAACAGTGGAATGGAGGGTGAGGACACGAAGGTCCCAGAAGAGGGAGGTTTGGACTAGGAAGAGTGATCGGCTTGCTGACACTGGGCCTTCCCCTGCTATCAGGACCCTCTGCTCACTTGTAGGAGATGGCAAGCAGAGACTATCTCAAGACGCTTTCCTCAGGATTAGGGAAGCATCCATCCCTGTTTTTATGAGGTTGTTGGATCGGGGGTCAAGCTTACTTTCTCAGGACCTCACTCAGATCTGCAGACAAAGGGCAGATGTGGGTGGTGACTGTTTCCAAAAGAGGTTGAGGAAAAGTGATACCATAGGCTGATGTAGCTACAAGGCACCCCCACCAACCCCATCCCCCTCTTAGTCCCAGAATTCCCTCCCACCTTCCTCCCTAGTGAAACTGGGGTGTGGGGGTCAAGGGGTCTTCCCAAATAGAACCAGAATGGTAAGTCTATGGGGAATAGAAATAGGTATGGACACTTATTCCCAAAATTTTGGAGGCTTCAATAAAAGCACCTCTCTCTGCTCACACCACAGAGGAAAGTTGAGAAGCACAAACTGAGGACTCATGCAGAGTTTGAGCAGCAGAAAAACTTCCTGACTAAAGAGGAGCAGAGGCAACTGCAGAAGCTCGAGAATGATGAGAGAGAGGAGCTGAGGATCCTGTGGGAGAAGGAGACTGAGCTGACCCAGCAGAGCCAGGCCCTACAGGAACTGATCTCAGAAATGGAGAGGAGGAGCCAGGGCTCAGCGCTGGAACTGCTGCAGGTGAGTCTGGGGGAGAGGCTTCCCCTGAGATCCAAGGATTAACTTAAGAGCCAGAGCTTTCTGGAGCTATGATTAAGACATGGATACTGGGGCCCAAATGTCCATTTGTTTTAGAAAATAATAAGCACAATGAAATTACTTAAGCCACTCAGGAAGCCAGGAGTAGTTTATAATAAAGGCACAGAAAGATACAGATTTAAGAGGAAATAATCCACGCAGCAATTAAATAAATTTGGTCATTTTTCTTCTGCCAAACATTCAGCCAAACTTTCTAGTGCACTTTGACTATGCCGAGGAACCTGCCAATTCCTCAACCCCTGAAACAGAATATCCTCAATGATTTGATTTTACATATAAGGAAAAATATTAACCACCTCGGATAAGATGTAGTTTTAACTAACCAGCACTGCCTCTCAAATAACTCAAGTCCATGAATAAGGCACAGAAATTGCCATGCATCCTGACTCGGTCTTTTTTCCTCCATAACAGTCTCTGGAAAGGAGCAGATAGCCCAAGTTGACTGAGACCCACTCTCCCCAAATATCTGGTCCTCAAATATTTTGAGTCAGCCCTTTCACTGGTTTTCTTTTCCCTAAATGTAGATCACCCACACTAGATTTCTGGCTATCATACAAGCAGCCAGATATTCCTGCTGCTCCAACCTAATCAGAAACATGTTTCAGATTTGGCCCTAGAGAAATAGGGGAGAGCTTGTAGTGATACATCACCCACAAGACTGGAATCTTTTTTGTAAACTAATGACTCCAGAACTTACTCTCCATCCTTTATTTTTTTTCCTTAGGAGGTGAAAAATGTTCTGGAAAGGTAAGTTTTCTTTACTAGAGAAGGAGATGCAGGAAGCATACAAAGCTGTGAAAAAGATAGTTAGAAAAACATGACATTTCCCACATCTTTCTGCCAATTCACAAAAACCCTCTCCTCCATAAAATATTTTCTGTTCTCAGAAAGACAATTAATGGACATCTCATCTCAATTGGTGAATTGTCCAAAGTAAATGAATAACATCTTCACAAACTGAAGCCTTAATGGAAATATTCTGTATACACCTGCTAGAACATCTTTAATCTAACCAGTTATTGTACAAACTTACCGGAAAGCATGGTGAGTAAAACCTATACCTGATTGAAATTCCTTGAGTTTCCTCACACTATTATTCAATCTCTATTGCTTACTTGTAAAAAGAAATAATGTGAAATAATCCTGGTGACCTCAGCCATAGAGAGGAGACATAGATTATGAGCTTCAGAAAATAACGTGACCAGGAATTCCCAGACAGTAACTAAGTACTCCCAATACTCAGAAGCCTAACATAGGAGGTATTTGCAATTTTCCACTGAGTTAAAGAATCGGTCATCCACAAGGGAGGTTCTAGTGTTGGGATATAGGAGGCTGGATAGAAATTAGAAATGGGATCTCTGTTTGCCCCAGGAGTGAGTCCTGGAGCCTGAAGGAGCTAGACATTGCCTCTCCAGACGTGACGACCATCTGTCATGTGCCTGGGCTGAAGAAGATGCTGAGGACATGTGGAGGTGAGGCAGGCACCAGAAGTTTAGGACAAGCCTGTTGGGACTATCAGGGAATAAAGAGGGGCAGTGTATTCCAGGGCTAGGAAGGGATGACAGTTTGGCAAACGTAAGGACAGCACAAGGCTGGAACTGGCCGAGTGTCCTTTCCTCACTGCGAGAAGTTCAGGGCCATGCTTTCATCTCTTCCTCTATCACAGACATAGGTACTACTTCCTCACACTGCCCTTGCCTGACTGTGGTTCTCTCTGCAGTGCACATCACCCTGGATCCACACACAGCCAACTCGATGCTCATTATTTCAAAAGATCTGAAACAAGTGAGGCTTGGAGACACCCCCCAAGCAGTGCCTGAGAATGAGAAGAGATTTGATAGTTATCCCATGGTGCTGGGTGCCCAATGTTTTGATTCTGGAAAACTCTACTGGGAAGTAGATGTGACAGGAAAGGATGCCTGGGATCTGGGGGTCTGTAGAGACTCCGTACAGAGGAAGGGATATTTCTCGCTGTGTCCCGAGAATGGCTTCTGGACAATTTGGTTATGGAACAAGCATTATAAGGCTGGCACCTCCCCCTCAACTTCCCTCCACCTTCAAGTGCCTCCATGCCAGGTTGGGATCTTCCTGGACTGTGAGGTCCGCACGGTCTCCTTCTACAACATCACTGACCATGGCTCCCTCATCTATAGCTTCCATGAATGTACCTTTGCTGGACCTCTGCGGCCCTTCTTCAATCCTGGTTTCAATGATGGAGGAAGCAATGCAGCCCCTCTGACCCTCCGTCCACTGAGGGTGGGGTGATAGGGTCCACTGGCTGTTGGCTGGCTCTGTCTACACTGACACCCCTCTGTTGGCACCCTTCATTGCTATAGGAGACTACCATGAGACAAACTTTTAGATGGGTTTGGAGCAAATATATCAACCAAAACATGTTTTTACCTTCTTTATGTGACTCAAGTTTTTGGTGGGTTTTTTTTTTAATTTCTTTTCTTTTTCCATCTCCTGTTCTTAAAGGTCTTCCTAGGTACAATGGGTTTCAAATCTGTCCCATTCAGTCTTTCCAACTTGCACACATCCGATCACAAGTGATATGATCAGTTGTGATCAGGTGGCTGTGGGAGTATAGTTGGAAGCTCTAGTCACTGCCTGAAGAGATCTGACCTAGCCATGAGGGAACTGATTTATGAAGGCAAAGGCCTCCTGGGGCTGTCACAGCTCTCTGGTCCACAGCTCTGGCCATCACAGTCCTGAGAGGTGTTTGTATTCTCAGTAAGCTTGACCAGTAATGGTGTTCCAGTACCCAAAATTCTAACCAAGAAGTGCCCAGGCTTCATGTCCATCCCTAACTTAAGTGTTCTTAGCAAATGGCAAATTCCTGCTTCCCCTGGGACACACAATTCTCTATTCTTTCTGAAATGTCTTTCTTATGGAAACATTACACCTGACTTTTGCAGAGTAAATGTTGTCTCCACTTAAAAAAAAAGGGAATGTATTTGCAGTATTCATGACCAACAGTCTAGAACTGAAAGGGCAAAGGGCCTATGGTCAGAATCAACAGGTTCTGGAGAACATAAAACTCGTTTTGAAAAATGCAAACATAGAATCACTTGCCTGAGGACCCAAAGGAGAAGTAGCAGTTTGAAGTTTAGGAACTGTGAATGAGTTTCACTTCTTGAACTTGAAGCAATTACTGAAAAAGCAAGAGCCAGCTTGAACTCTCTGGTAAAATTACACTGGCAAGTACAAAATATTACATCATAAATATATCTCCTTTTTTTGATGAGGGTGGGCATATACACTGGTTTGCAGAGGTGACACTCTATAGGGTGATGTGACCAGCAAAAGTGAATGCTAAGGTTAGCTAGCACCAATGGCTAAAAGTAAGCCACAGGAAGGCTTGTGCATATCCCTGATTACAGCTGTGCTAAGCTGTGCATTCATACTACAATGTTCCTTAAACTAAGGCCAGAAAACACATCCTACGCTCATTACAACATCAGATGTGCCTGCATCCTGTGCTACAGCATTGATCACCAAGCCCTGCAGAAGAGTTTATATTTCTGGACACTACAGACAGTAACAATGGAAGAGACTAGTCTTGACAGTCTACCCCAGGGCACTGAAGAGGTTCTTGAAACCAAACAAGAAAATAAGACCCAACAAGCATAAATCTTAGACCCTGAAAAACACACCAAAGAGGCAGAGGACGGGGGATCAGGACAATGGGTAAAGGGGGTCAATTTGATACAATATGAAAGCAACAGAACATCATTAGTGAATATAGTAGGGGATATATACATACAAAGGTGTACACTGTGCTACCAAAACTATAGCTTTGTAAACAAATGGTAAATCAATAAAAGTGCTATAAGATAAAACCAATGAGAAAGATTAATGATTGATAAAAGTTGTGGATCTAATATATTTCAAAGCAATGGTCATAAAGATGCTCACTGAACTCAAAAGAACAAAAAAGAACAAAGTAGAACCTCCAATGATGACAAGACTATAGAAGAAAATTTGACAATTTTGTATTCATAAGTTGAATACAAAAACAACTAAAAAAACATCCAAGGGCTTAACCCCAAACTCAAGAAACAGAAAAATAGACATGCAGTTTAGAAGATAAAGCAGTGAAACACACTGAACAGCAAATGGAAACATGAATTTAAAAAACTTTCCTGAAAGGAAACATCAAGCAAAATAACATTAAAACTATAAGAGTACCAGAAATGAAAAACAGAGGTAGAAAAGCTATTTGAAGAAATAATGACTGACAATTTCCCTAACCTGAGGAAACATACAGATAAAGAGGCTAGTAAAAGCAGCCAGATAAAAACAAATTGTAACCTATAGAAAATCTCCCATAAGGCAGTCAGCAGATCTTTAGCAGAAATTTTGCATGCCAGGATTTCTGGCATATCTTCAAAGTATTAAAAGTTTAAAACTTCCAGATGAGAATACATTACCTGGCAAGTTATTCAGAACTGAAGTGAAAATAAAGAACTTTACAGAAAAAAAAAACTAAAAGATTTCATCATCAATAACTCAAAAGATTTATTTAAAGGGCTTCTATAATTTTTTTTTTAAAGATTTATTTATTTGTGCATACAGAACTGGGGTACAGGCCAGAGACGCGGAGGGTGAGAGGATTCACCAGAGACAGAGCGGGGAGCAGAACAGGCAGATCGATGAAGTACACTGCTGAGGGGAGCAGCGGGCGGGTCAGGAGAGGTCTGCCACGCCATGTGGTCACCTCCGGGGCAGGCGGGAATCGAACTCATGCGGAAGTGGCTTTAGCTTCTTAGTGCAGTGCTTTAACCCGCTGCGCCACCAGGGAGGGCCCGGCTTCTATAATTTTTAATGGCATTAATTAACAAGAAACCATAAGGGGAAATCCCACTGACAAAAGTAAATAGAGTGAAGATAATGGAGCAAGCATATATCAATATAAAGATAACATGAAGGATAGAAGACAAAAGAGAATCATCAATTAAAACTACTACTTATTTTAGAAAATTGATCAAGTAACCTGTTGCATGTAGATTACTCTGGATATATCTAAACTCTTCTTCACAGCTAAATTTGGAGTTAATCAAGTGAGGGTACAACTGGTTTATACCTTTTTTTAAAATGGTTTTCTTTAGGGATTTTTAGCATGTGTGATTGAAGTGTGGAGCTGTAATTCTGTGAACTATGGATAGTCAACAAAATGCTCTTGAACGTTGCATTGTGTAAAATGGGTGTATTACCCAGGTACTCGTACACTTACATACATGGTACCAGGTACTCATTTTGGTACTGCTAGTTCTATACCAGAGGCATTTTCTTTTATTGTTACTTGTTTTCCAAACCTCATTTTAGCCACTTGAATGTCTGCTTGTGGCACAATTTGCCTCAAAAACATTCCAAGTTCTTTGATTGGAAAACAAATATACAATTAAAAAATTCAAAGATATCATATATTATGGGAACAGAAATTCCATTTTTATGTGGTTTAAAGGACATAAATCTAAACCTGAGTAAAGGATATGAAATTATTAACTGAGAAAACAGTAAACAGTAGAAAACTTATACAGCTATTTCATATTTAATTAAATAATGTACTAACAGTCTCAAATTTTTCCTATTTAGATCAACTATTCTGAAATAAAATAATAAAAATTAAAAGAAACTGGCAAATAATAACTATTGTGAGATATGTAACTCTTACCAATAACTGCTGAATAATTTTAAGTGGTCCAATAAGGTTTGAACAGTACGATTAATTTTGTTTTCCTATTTCTGGTTCTTATTTCTTAACTCATCCTGTTTCCTATTTCTTAACTCATGCTCTTTATCACATTACAAATATACTTATAATATTACAGAAACAAGTTTATCACATATGGAGAAAGATTTAATCATATAAAAGACAAGAACATGCTAAAATTTAACAACTATGTCTTAATTTTCTGATATTGGTCATTGAACTTTGTTTTCTTTACTTTTCCAGCTTTATTAGCATGTATTCTTGAAAAAAAATAGCTATAAAATGTACACTTTAAAAATCTAGGCGAAACCTCAGAAAAAATGTCAAACTGAAGAAAATAGTTTAATATTAAAACAATAAATACCACAAAAGAACAAAAGATAGATTTAAAAATATTGTAGGTATTTCTTTAGGTAAAAACACCAAAAAGTACAGAAACTATGGCCTAAGAATATATTTTCAATAAATATTAATATGGGGAAGTTATATTTTCATATTGAAAAATGGAAATAAAAACAATTTTAAGTCTGATTTAAATATCAAATAAGATAAGGTATGAGAATTTTTGCATAGTTTCAATAAATGGTTGTTATTAATCACAAAGAAAAACAATATTCAGTAAGTACAAAAAACTGTACAGAGTGTCTGTTAACTAAATAAGTTCAAATGAAGTACAGTGAGAAAATTATTCTACTTTATATATGGTAATTTTTTTAATGAAACTAAATGCTAGTATTGACTCAATAACTTTTGGCACATTTTTGTATTTCTGACAAGAATAAAGGCTAATAATTATCTAGATACCTTTTTCCAGTGTACCAGAAAAATCTAAAATCTTTATTTCCTCACCTAGTAATTTTGCTTAAGGTTAAAATCATATAAAATTTAATGCATATAAAACCTGGTGGTGCAGCAGGTTAAAGCACAGCACTAAGAAGCTAAAGCCACTTCAGCATGAATTCAGTCCCTGCCCCGGAGGTGACCCACATAGCACGGCAGACCTCTCCTGACCTGCCCACTGCTCCCCTCAGCAGTATACTTCATCAGTCAGCCTGTTCTGCTCCCCACTCTGTCTCTGGTGAAGCCTTTCACTGCCTCTGCACCTCTGGCCTGTATCCTAGCTCTGTATACAAAAATAAATAAATCTTAAAAAAAAAAAAACCAGTCTTGTGCACAAAAGTATCCCTAGAATAGCTATTATTCTCAAATTATTGATATAAATATTAAAAGGCAAAAGGTTGAACACTACCTCATCTAAATGTAAAATAGAAATTTTTAAAAGCATGCTTTTTAAATAGAGATAAAATAGCCATTAAGTTATTATAGATCTTTTTAATATATTATAGTGGCTAGAATACAGGTCTTTTAATGTATTATAATGGTTACAATACAGGTCTGTGGGGTAATGTTGATTTACAGAATCATGTATAAAGTTTAATTATGCATGTACATAATTAAATGTTGTTAGAAATTTGGAAGTACAACATCAAAATAACAGTAAATTCTCTGAGTGGTGGGATTATGTGCAAATTTAGTTTTAATTTTGTGTTCATATTTTCTCCATGGAATACTTAATGTAAAATGAGCAAACATCTCAAAACAAGCATCACCAATATGGTACTAACACACAGAAAAAGTGGTACCTCATCTTGAGATGAAGTGGTTATAATGACCTCACTGCTTTGGTGACCCCATGCTAAGCCTTGAAAGATGATAAAAATCCATTAAAAAGTCAAAGAAAGAACAGGTCATCCCATACAAATGGGCCACTTTCATTAAATGCAACAAGACACTTAAGAACATATAGAAATAAGCCATTCTTTGACACTGAAGCACAGATTACCTGAAAATGATATGGAAATCATTGCTGGAAAGGAAGTCTGAAATTATTCTGTACCATGTTGAAGGGCATGATCCTTAAGACACAATTTTTTAAAAGTCAAATGTCAATAGTATGGTGAACTAAATAGGCACTTCTCCAAGGAAGAAAAACAAATGGCTAATAGGCACATGAAAAAATTGTTCATTTATTTCTAGGGAAATGCAATTCATAACGATGATGAGCTACCACCTTACTTCTTGAGAATGAATCATATCAAAAAGACCGGAAACAATTGCTGGTAAGAATTTAGAAAAAAAAAGGAACCCTATTGTGTTGTTGGTGAGAATGGAAACAGGTTCTGTTTTTATAGAAAACATTACAGAGTTCCTCAAAAAGTTAAAAATGGGTCTGCCATATGACCCAGAAATTCTACTCCTTGGTTATCTACCCAATGAACACAGAAACACATTAGTGTTACAAATAGCAGCACTGTTTGTAATCATTAAGATATGAAAACAACCTAAATAAAAATAGAGGAGTAGATAAAGAAAATGTATTTATACACAATAAACTACTCAGCTATTGAAAAAGACAAATGCATGAAATTCACAATAACATGGATGGAGCAGGAAGGTATATGATCCATGAAATAAGTCAAAAGGAAATAGACTAGACAAATACCAGATGGTACCACTTAGAAGTGGAATATAGAGATGTCAAATGAAGTTTAAACTGGACTTTAAAACTAACCTTACTTAATGGCTGATTATAGGACTGAGGATCCATGAGAAAGGAAGGGGTGAGAACAAAGTGTGGGTGGGAGAGCATAATGGACCATGATAGTGGACTATAGATGCTTTGATGATGGTACAGTACTATAATAGCACCAAGAGATGGGAAGCCAGGGTGGGGGGTGTCCTCTGCTCCCAAAGAACAAAATAAAACAATGCAAACCAGCATTTCCTCAAAAAAAAAAAAGCTTAAAGCACAGTTCTTAACATCCTCTTAATACCTACCATACTTTGAGAAAGCATATAAAGGAATGCAGGTTTCACATGGGTGTCTGAGGATGTGGTGATATATCTGAGTTATAACCCAAGACAGAAAATTTATAATTTATCTCAATGAGATCCTGAATATAACATTGACTATTCCCAGAATTGAGATGAATTTTAGAGTAAGATATGACTACTAAAGAGTAACCTGTTATTTCCCCTACTCATGATCTATAATTATCTCAGTCAACCTACAGATAATGTGTTCAGACAGATTAAGGCAAGTCTCAAGTTTCAGGTAAGTTGCTCCAGAGACCAATAATATAATAAGACATATTTCCCCATGACTCAACTCTAGTTCTCTTGTTCACTGCTACCAAAGCATAGCTCATGGAAGAAACAAAATTTCTGAGAAGTCAGTTTCTTTCATTCCCAGATAATTTTTGCTTTGGAAGCAATATATATAAACCACTTGCTCTTGTATCTGTTTTGCCCTGACCCCATAGGTGGGGCAGGCATGCTAACATTGGCCAGCAGGATGTGGACATGTGGTGGGATATGGTGCCCAAAGCATTGGGTGAGGACTGAGAAAATCCCTGGCCCATAGAAGAAGATGATGACACACATGTGGGAGCCACACGTGTGGAGAGCCTTATGGCCAGCATCTTGAGAAGGGATGTGGAAGACAGCATAGAGGATCACAACATAAGAAATAAAAATGAGGAAAATATCTAGGATCACTGTTGACATTAAGACAAAAAATCCATACCAGATATTTATTCAAATATCATCACAGGCATATTTAGCCAAGCCAATGTGTTCACAAAATGTATGTGGGAGGATGTTATTTCTGCAAAAAGTCAGCCTCTTCAGAAGAAATATAATGGGAAAAATTGTACAATGTGCGCTCAAGAAAATGGCCACACCAATTTTCCCTATCAGAGAGTGTGTGAATATCATGGTATACCTTAGTGGGTAACATATGGCAATGTAGTGGTCAAAGGCCATCATTAACAAGATACCTGATTCAGAAATGAAGGAAGAATGCTGGGCAATACAGCTATTAAGAGAGATTTCTCTTTTATTGTACCAGAAAATGGCCAATGCCTTGGGTTCTGTGGTTGTGGCAAAGACAATGTCAGCTCCAGCCAGCATACAGAGGAAAAGATACATAGGTTCATGGAGTGTGCTCTTCATCAGGATAATGAAAATGAGGAAACCATTTCCAAGTAGAGCAAAGTCATAGGAGATGAAAAGGGGGATAGAAATCCACAGGTGTAGGTCTTCTCGACCTGGAATGCCCAGCAGATAGAAGATCGTATAGTTAAACCCATGTGGTTGAAGTTAGCCATTCCTAAGCCAAAGTGGATTTCAATTTTACCTAACAGAGACAAAGATAAATACAAAGCGGTTTTCCTTTAGTTTTCTGATTAAATATATCAAGTTAAATACTTGCCTTTACCACTGTCTCTTAGTGCCTGGCTAAGATATCAATAAAATAACCAAAGTAATCAAACACACACACACAAAAAGCAGACAAGACAAGAATTAGCAACATTTTCGAAAGCAGGTGGATTCTATTGGCTAAGCAGGTAAAGTATCAAGATAACCTTTTTTGCAAAAGTCTCAATGTAAGACACAGGGTCCTTCTCTAAGTAAAGATAAGGGAATTATTTTTTTAAGTATTATTAGTTGGAAATCTATATAAAGCAAACTTAGACTCCTGGATCCTTATTCCCAACCACTATGACTATGTAGCACTTTTCATCCCTGGAGTGGCAATTCATTCCCTGATGAAGTTTTAAGCGTGAAAATCTTGAAGTCTCTAGCTAAAGTAAGCATACTTGACTGAAGCAGAGAAATAAATGAAAGTTTCCTTCCACATACTGATCTAAAATGAAACATCAGCACACTTCTCCATAACTACAGATTCTAGGTATAGGGAAATTTGTGTAGGGAGAGACTTCCCGTGAAATTCTCCAATCCAGAATTTTACAACAAAATAAGACAAAAATGTTTAGGAGTAGATAAGTTGTTTCTGATCTTCAAAGTGCCTCAAAAGATTTATCACCAACTAATACATCCAGAGAAAGCTACCGAAATAAGGGAATGAACCAAAAATAGAGAAATGTAGATTCCAACAAGAGAGTCAAAAAAAAAATGGTACAGTACAGGAGATGATTCAGGCTGTGAAGGAGTGAGGAATTCCTTGGATAATGGTGAAGGCTGACAACTGTAGAGTTCTAGAGTATCCATGTCTAGATCGGAACAGGGGATAGAGGATACCAAAAGGAAAGTCTCAAAGGAAAAAAAGAAAAGCTTGTTCTGAAATGTAATCTATATTTTTTGTGGAAAACAAGTCACATACAAATTCAGCAAACAAAAAATAGTTATTCACGACAAGGGAGGAAAAAATTGTACTAAGAAATAAATGTGCTGTATCACTCTATACTATATTCTCAGTTATTATAATTATGTAAACATAAATATGTATCTTAAAATTATTATATAACTCAAAAATCAGTAAGAGAGGAGTCTGCATGTGTCTAAATGTATGAATTAATGTAGGTGTTTGTTAAGAGGAGTATGCTAAGAGGAGGAATGGGTAGAAAAGCTAATGCTATATTCTATTAGAAACATTTTAAATTAATTCATATACTTCTCTGCTCCTAAAATCTCACATCATGTATAACAAAGTCTTCAGGCTTAGACCAAGAAAAGGAACCGTGACTGGACGAATCACAACTAGTTGAAGATTAAACTAGAGAGATTATCTTCATGAGTTCTCAGGAGGTCACTTTTATCCAATGGCCTCATTTCCCTATTTCCCTTGGGTGATGACTCTACCAACTAATCCATAGTCCAAACGGGCCAGTCATAATGCCTTCTTCCTACTTTTTCTCTTGAGACATGGACCTCTGGCACTTCACTGGCTATTTCCTCTCTATCCTAAGATGTTGTATATCTATCTGTATCTTTGCATACTCAGAATCTCTCACTCCTAACTTAATATTCTCTCCTGAGAAAGCCCTGTGCCTATTTCAAGTACTATACCCACTTTAATCAACACTCACCATAACTTAATCAGATGCCCATTTATTTTAGAAATAAAAATCTTAGAAAACTACTCTTCATGATTAATGTTCACGTTATTTTCTTTATTTCTTTTTATCCTGGTTATAAATACCTGCTTATAGAAGTAATGTATAAGGATTATAAAGAGATTTTCCAACAAGTTCCCTGCTGACATGAAGGCTGCTTGCCTGGGACAGGTATAGTTCATCCCCTTCAGCATTTTTCCCACATGGCTTTGAACTCAGCTTAGAAAACTATCTTTGGCAGTATTTGTAAGGATTGCCAACTTCAGCCAAGCAACCATCCACTTGAACAAAGAAGAAACTCAGTGGAGAATGTCCATGATAAAGGAATGAAAGGAAGACATAGAAGGCAGATGCCATCACCAACATGGCTGCAACAAGTCTCTAAGTTCTCTCTGGGATATAATAAATAAGGGAGAAATTGCTATTTCTTGCATAAATGGATTATGCTAAATGAGGGATCATACTAAACACAATGAGTCAAAGAAAAAGAAACATTGTATGAGCTCACTTACAATATGGAATCTAAGAAAAAGACTCAAAGAAAGATTAGATTTGTAGTTTCAAAGACATGGGGATAACAAGGGATGGTAGAAGACCCCCTGAAGGACATACTGGGGACAAACCCAAGTGAAGGCAGAAAAGAACACCAATTATTTATACCAATGTGTAAGAATAATCTTTTACATTGAGAACGCACAAAATAGGAAGAAGCATAGACCTTTCACTCTACACACTGCCCAGCTCAAGCAGGTGTGGAAAATAAATCATTAATTTTTTTCCCATTATAAAAACTGTTCAGCCACTGCCACACATGGAGCCACATCACATGGGGAATACAAAGATTATTCCTTAGTGAATGTGCTTCATGACTGCAATAGCTTTGGTACATGCTTTTGTTTAGGCCATTCTCCTGTTCATAAACTGCAAATTCATTGTAAATATGATTGTTTCCACCCAGAACAAACAGGTGGGGTGGGGGAGAGTGTGCATGATTTGGTTGTACTTATAGGCAAATAAAAGCAAGACTTGAAAGCTAGCCTTGGAAAGAGAAAAACAGAAAATGAGTTGCTGATGGAACCAAACCCAGTTGGACCACAGGTGAATAGTTTTACTCTTGGATGGGAAAAGAAGCAGTTCTTTATTTGAAATAGGTACGAGTAACTAAGAATGACCTATGCTGATGAACTTAGGAACTGAAACAGAAGCAGTCTGAAAGACTGTCATCATGGCAAAATAAAAGCAAAAGCACCTGCTGAAAAGAAGTCATAGGTTACAGTCTCAAACTACAGACTGGTTGAGGACTGGGCATATACATAATTGGCAGCAACACCTGATTTTTAGGATTCATGATGCTGTTCCACCAGATATTTTTGGGGATTGAAAATCATAAATTCCCTGCACTCCTCACTCTCCCTCGACCTGCATGACCTCAACATTTTATCCACATTTTGAAGTCAAATTGAGCACAATCCCAAATTACAGATGGGAGGCTGACAGGCTGGACAAGCTCACTTTGAAATTACAGTTGGGGTTGCAAGTCACCACTAATGGACATGTGACATCTTTTGGGGGGGTGATGAAAATGCTGTAAAATTGATTTGTGTAATTGTTGGGATTTGTAAGATTAAAAACTCAGTCTCTTCCTTGTTTTGCAGACAGGGATGGAAAGTTTTGAACAAACAAGGGGAACTGAAGAGTTATCATGGGAACTTGGCCCTGAGACCTAGGGGACCCAAATGGTCATTATTAAAATATGGCTGTACCAGCTGGCCCATGAAAAAATGTTCACAATCATTTATTAGAGAAATTCAAATCAAGATCACATGAGATACAATCTCACACCTTTTGAGAATGACCCATGTCAAAAAGAGCAGAAACAATAAATGCCAGCGAAAATGTAGAGAAAAGGGAGCCTTCCTACACTGTTGGTGGGAATGTAAACTGGTTCAGCCAGAATGGACAGCAGTATGGAGCTGTCTTAAAACATTAAAAATGGATCTGCCATTTGACCCAGTAACTCTACTCCTAGCCATCTATCAAAAATTCAAAAATACTAATTCCAAAGGAAACTTGCACTCCTATATTTATTGCAGCATGATTTACAAAAGCTAAATTATGGAAACGACCTAAGTGAACAGATGAGTAGATCAAGAAGATGTGGTAATATGAACAATAGAATATTACTCAGTGATCAAAAATAATAAAATCATGTCCTTTGTAGCAACATGGCTGGTTCCTAAAAGAATAATGCTAAGTGAAATAAGTCAGAAGGAGAAGACAAACACTAATGGTGTCACTAACATATGGATTTTACAGCAACTAAATTAATAGATCAAGTAAAGCTTAAAAACTAAGTCTTGATAGCTGACTAAAAACAGAAACACTAAGAGAAGTAGTGGGAGGGGGGTAAAAACAAAGAGGGAAGGAAGCACAACGGTCTCTAGGGTGTTGTGAGATGTGGCTGACTTGGCGGTGGGTACACTATGGTGGTATTACCAGATGGGGGTACCCCAGTTACTACCTCAGTTGAAAATAAATTTAAAAAAGAAAAATAGGGCCATCAAACCCACCTGTGACCATTAAAGATTGATGTAAATTCTTAAAGAAGGCAAAGACTAAACCCACTCTGACACTTCAGTAACTGCAGCCAGCATAGACCTCTTCCTAAATCTTATAATGCCTACAAACTCTGAGTATAAAAATTTCCCTCCCTGTGCAAACACTTTCATCTTGCCCACTTTTCTAGCAGGATAATAAGTCCTAAAATCAATACAACAAAACTAAACAGACTAAACGCACAGCTATACTTCAGAGACATTCCTCAGGGGAGGGAAAAGATACAAGACATGGATGGGAAGAGTACAAGCACTGGGGTGATGGTACACAGGTGAACTGATGGTAGAAATTCTATGGGGACTACACCTGATGTAAAATATATACAAATAAAGAAATTGTATTTAAAAAATCAGTAAGTCCTCTTCTCTTTTCCATGCTCTCGTTACTGAATTCATTCACCACCATAGCCCTGGTGTCCTTTCAAGGACATTCATCTCCCTCTCACAGCTGTACTGGCACACAATTCATAAGTCTCTAGACATCACTGTTCACTAAACATGGGTGTGCTTTGTGGTATGGACAAGAAACATTTTAAAATAACACTAGATAACCCTCCCTGGTGGCACAACAGGTTAGGGCACAGCACTGCAAGCTGGCCGCAGCTGCTTCAGT